TTCCCAGATACCTGCCAATGCGGTGTTGACAGATTATACATTCTTTCCCTAGACTAAGAGAAAACGTAGACTTGGCAACGTCGTACCCCATTAAGCTATAGAAAGATAAAGTTTATCTATTTCATATCGCACAGGTACATTCTTACACATGCTTAAAGCATGTTGTTGGTACTCTCTGGACTCCATTACGTGATACGATAATTTAAAGGTCGGTGTAAGGGTTAAATATGTAGAACTTATCGAAATAACGCATTTGTTTGGCCGAGAAGATTTTCGTGCAGTACAGTGTTAGTGAATATTGTTTGGAATACATTTGGAAGGGATTCCGTGAGAATTTTAACGTGAATGCGAATCTTTGAACTTGTTTCCTGACCAACCGAAAGATAGAGCTACCTAAAAGTGTAAACAAATTTATTTTGGCTTAAAACATGAATTCTTAGCAAATGGGTCAAGAGCCTGCGATACTCGATCCTACGCGATAGGGAATGTTGATAAGAATGGTATCAAAATTCCTCAATTAATTATTGTGCGAGTAAAGTTGTAAGATTTAGGAAAAATACGTCATGAGGAATTATATGGGATTGTTAGCTTCTTGCAAACCGTTATCGGATGGGCGCAAAAGAACTGTTTATAATAGTTGTGCGTACGTCATATATTTAGAATGCCAACGATTATTTTTTAAATGAATCTATGACTCTTAAAGACAAAAATAAATTCGTCGGACGGGAAAATTCCCAAATACCATGTCGGTCAGGCTGTTTTAGATATGTATTGATATTTATTCATCATGTGCGTACTAAGTGAGTTGAAACTAAATAATACAGACCTGATTCCCAACTAGGGAAGCAAGATTTGTGAGAAATTAGTACGTTCGCATTTAATTAAGAGATTATTATTCATTCGATATTTCCAAAACTTTAAAAGCTTTCATTTTTCGAAATTCTTAACAGACTAAACATTGAGATTTAAAAAATATTAACTTTGAAAATTTTGAAAATCTTGAAGAACATTTTGACAATATAAAAACTTTTGAAAACTGAATATTTCGAAAACCTTGAAACTTTTCAAGATGTCGACTGGTTCTGAAAATCTCTAAGAGTGTAAATTTTTGAAAATTTTCAAAACGTTGAACATTCTGCGATTTTGAGTATTGAGTGTTTCAGCCTACTATGTAATCTGTGGAATGCAAATGGTAAATCCCCACTTGACTGACACTCATGCTTTATTGTTCGCTTAAGATTTCACGTCAAAGCTGTGATTGTAAGTTCTAGCGTGACGTGCAAGTTATTTGTCGTCCTGCCATAAGACTGTTCTTCTTCTTCCTTGGAGGTTCCACTGAGGAAAATTTCATTCCTGACGTTAACAGTGCGAAATGAAATAAATGGTCTCGAGTTCCATGGATGTCCGGAACAGAAATCTATTCTATTGGTTGATTTTCTCGGCAGGAAATACAAAGGATTCAAATCGATTCTCGTTCAATGTATACTGTTGAAATACATATATCCTAATACAGGGACGAACGAATGAGATTAAGCCTCATCCTGCTTGGTTCATTAACTACTCGTATTTACAAAATTGGTAATAAGATTCGGAATTCTAGAAGTCTTATTTCAATTTTTAGCGACACTTTTTGTTTCCTCTCTGTATTCTGTAATAAGCAATTTATCCATGGCGAATTGTTATAACATTTTATAACTGGGTCTTATTTAGCAATTGTTGTAATTTTTCCTTGATGAATTAATTAAAAGTGAATCATTAATTCTAATTGAGTGGAATTAAATAAAGAGTCCTAATTAAACTTGAATAGTCCTTTATTAAGACATTTTTTATAAACATCGCAAATATGGCTATGTGGAAAAATAGACGTTGTACAAATTTAGGTCAATTAAAGAATATGTTTAAATTGACTAGATCATATCATTACTATAAACCACTTTTCTGGAATATTTGGATTTTAGTTTTTACGATATTTCCTGATTGTAAAGAAATAAAAATATGGTACACCCACAAAAATTAAGCAATCCTCATAGCTCAGCTCGTCATACGTAATTATTTCAATAAGAAGATGATGACAGATTACAAAAATGCAATAAAATAGAATTGCTTTCGTGAACATTATATGGAAAATATATAAAACTGAAATATTCAGTTCGAGGAAATGGAGCGCAATTACAATCACGAAAAGAAATTTTGTCATTAAAACTAAAAATTATAGTAATACTATATGGTAGAAAATAGAACGCCAAGAATTATGATGTGAAATGAAGCATACCCGCGCAATGTAGATTTGTATACAGGGTGATCTCGGTTGTACACTGAATAGATTTGAAGTATGTACTCTTAGTTTTTAAGGACTATCAGATTATTCACATCCACTCCCTTCCTATCCTTTTGTTTTTTTTTAGTTGATTCTCTAAAATTGCATAAATATTGTGAACAAATTATTGTTATATGAGGGTTCAACAATCTAGCTTAGCTTATAAAACTTTCAACGAACTAAAATCATTAATTAACGTCTCCTACCTGAAGATATGCACCTAACGTTATATTCCTGCGTCCAAAAATTATCCGTAATAAAATGAAATACTATATCGTCCATTTATAAGAGCTTGACATAGCTCTTTTTGCATTTACTATATATACTTTGAAAATGTTAGAGTCACATTGATAGCACTGTCTATATGAGCATATTTAAGAGCATATATGCGGCTATTGCCTCAATACATTTTAAAGCTTGTTAACGATAGCATTTAAATTCAGCATCGCATATCCCCTAAGTGTACCAAGTTTTAATTGTTCGTCACAATGGCAGACCAAACTAAATATTTAATCCTAAATATATTATATTTTTGATAACCTGAAAAAAATACAAACCTGTTATGGATGTTCTTTAATTTAGAAAGTGTGCAAGGATCTCTCTGTATCCGACATCGTAAATGTGTAATTTTGATCACATAAATAACATATATAACGTTGGTATTACGGTGTCGTATATATTAAAATGTAAAAATACACATTATACCAGATAATAACGGGTTAGAGCATTAAAAGTAACAATAAAAAATGTGAATGCTGTATATTGCATGTCGCCAACTCTGTACTGCATTATATGCTATGGATCGACGTCCTACGTTCTATAAAAAGTCGCTTGCAACAAAAGAAAGGTAATTACTAATAATATAATACAAATGTTGTTACATTGTTATTAATGCAAGTAGCTTTTAAGTGAGTCGAGTTATTCGCTGTAACTCAATTTTGTTCAGTAGCTGTCGAAACCGTTCCATCACTCTACAGTTGTACTTTTAACTGCTTAACTGTTTTTTGTAAAACGATCCACCTTCTCGGATATTCCGTGAGTCTGAGCATTTGTTTTTTGTTTAAGATGCACGTTGTCAACTTTTCTATGACAGAACCTTAAGAAATCTCTCATATTATGTTTAGATGTGCTTCAAAATATCTTACACATTACATTTACAGATTATTTTGGCAACTGAGTATGTTATGTGAATATTTATTTTTTGGCTAACTGCATATAGGATATTGTAACAATTCCGTTGAGTGAAAAAAAAAACAATTTCTTTTTTCAAAAATACAATTTATTCCATCTCAAACATAAATCAAAAAGTCGTTTTCAAAAGGCCTAGTAATGTAAATTAACTACATTCCTATGTAAACGAAAAATATACAAATTGCAAATCTTAAAACTATATGATATCACTATATTGGTATAAAATGTCATTAAGTAATAACATAAACTTAAACGTATGTTACCTTAAAATTATTAAAAGCATCGTATGAAACAACAAGTTACTATTTTTTATATCACAATGTTGGAATATTGAATGTTAACATACTCTTAAGAGTATATTTCTTAAAGAGCTCAATAATTTCATATACTTATAAGTCTTTATCAGTCTTCAATATTTTTATGTCAGAGCTGAAAACAAGCTATGGCTACTGAAATTGTCGATAAAAAACTGAAATAGTATAATAAAAATTATTGGTTGTGACGAAATAAAAATTGTTTTGGGACAAGAGATGTTTTCTTTGCGTTTTTTGGTAAATATTCACTATACGCCTGTGGATAATTTTCGAAATAAACAACACTAATACTATGGGGATGTTATTTCTGGTCAACAAAATAAAAGCAACCTTTCAAACAAAACTAAAAGAAATCTTCTAGAATTCCAAAATAATATAACTATCCCCAATTTATTGCTCTAGCGATTCTTGTCATGTACTAACGTAATATCGATTTTTGTACACAACTATATATACATTGAGTATACCCGAGTTAGAAGCACTTAAACTAAAGCTAAGGCGCACAGGGTGGACCTAATATGTTTCATGATAAGACAGATGTATGGCGCAGACAGCTGAACTATGTCAGTATGTCATAAATTGGCAAGGCAAAATAATTATTAACTTTTTATTATTATTACTTATTCGCTATGACTCATTAGATTAGTACGCTATGGAATCCACAATGAAGAATATAACGTTCACTTTTTATAACTTTACAGTCACATAGGAATAATTCTTTGAAAATACTAAGAATGCAGTTGGAATGTTTATTTGAGAATACTGCTTTTGTTATGTTAAATACAAGATCGTAATATGCTTTAAATGGAATGTTTATATGTGATAAAGTAGCATCGTTTTAGGATTGCTGAAACATATTAGAGTTCACCCTGCTTTTTTAGAATATATATTTTCGTCGAGTCGGTCTCTCGCAGCAGCGGAAAAAATTCAAGTCGTGCAACCCTAGTGTCAGAGCTTCAATGAAAAACTTGGACCCAAGACTGTCTTAAAGCCAGAACAACATTAGTCAATAATACTTTATTTTCATTGAAATTTGAAAGAATGTTCGCATTGAAGTTAGAAAAATAAACATATAAATTCTAGACATGCAAATAGAATGGCTAAAATAACTTATAAAAAAAGGAAATATGTATTGAAACTCTGAATTAAGACTGTACCCAACTCCATTATGCTAAGTATCACATAGAGTTATTCATCCCTATACTTTCTGGACTATCTGGTTCCCTGATAATCGTCCCGCTACCATCTTTATCACATTCATAGTACAGTGAAACTATGCTATGCTTCTTACAAAATGCCCACCACCATCTGTAACCCGATAGTCCAGTGAACATGAATTCGGGATCCCTCATCCGTCTCAATTTCTCCACGAAATTTAGAACTTGTTGCAGGGACTTTTTGGTCCTCCGATTGTATGGAGAAACTGACACGGAACAACAAAACTCAAGCACTGCAGCCTCTTCAGGCCCTGTTAGGCCTGCTTCTTCAAGTACTGCCATTCGTTTGCTCTTACCAAGGATGTTGTCGTATAGGGTTCCCTTAGGAATGCCGTACCTTGCTGAGGCTTGAGTGAATCGCATCCTTTGAGTGACAACGGCCTCTATGGCTTCTTTGAGTTGAGACTGGCTCCAAGTGGGGGTTTTTAGTTTTAGCATTGCTGGATAATCGGCTGTATGACAAATAGAAAGAGGACTTGGGTGAAAAAAAATAAAAGATTGGTATGAGAAAATAAAAATGTAAAATAAAGACTCATAAAAGATGTACATTAACATATGTTGTAGAGTAGATTTAGTTTCGTTATCAACGCAAACGAAAAAGTAGAAAGCTCTGGATAGATTCTGTTAAGCCACGATACCTTGGTCACAGAATATTACTATCAGAGACGAAAAATCAGATATGTTTGGTAGGATTTCCGTCACTGTCACTGCGACTCATTCTACCAATGTTTTAAAAAAGAAAATCAAGCATCAATGCAGATTGACGTGTTTAAATACGTATGTCTTTCAGTAGCATTTTCCTAAAGGGATGATTAAGAATAAGTTATAGTTCAGGAGTCATCTGCGCATTTGCTCGAAAAAAATAGTCTGATTCGGTTTTGTGCATAATGCAAAATTGCGTCAACATTTTGTGAAAAATTTTTCTAAACAGAATTTAATAATCGTTTTTTCTTCGCTCCCGTTAAACCGTCCATGATTTGAATAACCCAAAAACATGGCGGGCGTCCCTATGCTGCTCTCGCGCTTACGCAAAACTCTTAATTAACCATTTAGAAAAACAAAAGTTTACAATAACTAATTTTGTTAGCAGACGTTTGAAGAATAGTTAGGAACTTTGGCATCATTGAAACACGTTTTTTTCCATTGTTTTTTTGGTGTCAAAAATGGCATATTTTGAACTTACTCAAATTATGAGTCGATTATATTACGAAAAGTATCAAATTTAGAGAACGATTTAAAAATATTTTTGTTAGAAATGATTTAAAAAAGACCAAATAACCGTTTTTGGAGCGAAAAACATTTCGGAATTTATTTGAAAAAATATTTTTGACACAATTTTTGGCTTGGAAACAAGGAGATTCGTGCAAAAGAGCTACTTCGCTACATCTGATGGTGCATTTTCAATGAAAATGCGTTTCCAAAAAGGATAATATTTCTTAATGTAATTTGGAAATGCTAGTTCTTTTTAGGACATTTTGTATTTCTTGCTAAGGTACCGTAGCTTAAGCATCCGGAAAGGCGCGTCGATAAAGTACTAGAATTCCCTCTTCCTAAACAGATAATCGATAATAGGGACCTTATACTGATTCTCCTTCCCACATGCATATGTATGTGTACATAATATTCGGAAATAGCCTAGACCAGCGGCGGCATTAATTCATCATCCAGAACCTTCTGTATACATTAAATATTTAGCTACAATTAAAATATACACAAATGCTACCCTGGCAGCACTACATTATTTATACAATACAGTTTACTCGACCGGAGCCCCTGAGATACATAAATGCATTCATATGTGTTTTATAGTACAAGAAACATTAGAAGTGTTTTCATCCTTTTCATCCTAAAGTTTATACTTATTGTATACGCGGGTAATTCCAAAAGACCGGTCTCCTATTTATTTAAAAGTACAATAACCATTTATTTTCAATAATTGAAGAATCATTAGAATTTCAAGCATTGGTCTATTTTTCTACATAATCGCCATTCCTGTAGATGCATAGGCCGTGATTACAAGGGCGCGTCGTCGGAACTGATTTCCTCCCTAAAGTGATAGTAATGTGAATCAATGGAAACATTCAGATGCGCAATTTGGAACCAAGAAAGAGGAATGTCCCACACGTCAGCCGTCATACGGTCGCTAATTTGGAATAGTCTGGATGATATATATGATGACATCAGTCCGGATTTGGCAATACAACCTGTTCCATAAATTAAAACATTTGACAAGGCTATTTAGTTTGGATTACAAGGTGAAAGGTGTGGTTCAATGCTTACTCAAAGCAACAACCTGGTCTGGCATAAAAACGCTTCGACCGGAATGGCGAATAAGCATATTTTTTAAGATGGTGGGTTTTATTTAAAAACAAAATCGCGATGTTTCTGTTAGCCTATCCTTTAGAAGAACATACCGGCACGGGTATCACGTACCTTGAAAAGTGACATTATGCCGATTTTTTTTGACATTATGCTGGTTATTTTTTGACATCGTGTAGGTTTTTCTACAAGATATTAACTTAGCACTTAGTTGTACGTGTTGCCTAAACATCATGAGGCTTGTTATCAATGTAAAATCTGCTTCTGAGATGGCATTACTGGAGGTCTAAGCTATAAGTTGTATGTGTTGATGATAATTACGTTGGGTTCTTGTCTCAAATACACTTTATTAAGATTCAAAGCTAGAAATTACATATACAAATTTGCTGATTTTAAAAAATGAGAGAGATAAGAAATAATTATATTCACTGTACGCTGTCGAATTATAAGCCATATACATGCTAACAGTAATTACACACAACGCGGGCGCGGTGATGATTTCCCGTAATTTTCCTCAGTTTTTCGTAATTTATAACTTTGAACATAACCTCTCTTCAGAAAGCACAACATAAAAATTACCCGTCGGGCACAGCCAATAGATATACTTCATTAGCAGCATATTCAGTAATGATTTTCTCACACAGCAAATATCACTGATTTTATTCACATGCAGACCAATACACATAATCATCCAGATACGATCTTGCTATTCAACCAACTTTCTTCTCAGAGATAAAAACTACAGACAAGGACCATTTGGCCTCACAAATATATGCAACCAATAATGCGTTTAGTTTAGTTGAGTGATTCCTCCTTAGATGGACGTTCACAACGATCCTAGTGAGCAAACGTGGAATGACTGTTTGCGCTATAAAAACTACCTACTTTGCAAGATGACATAGGTTTTTTTTGACGTTTTATAGGTTTTTTACATGTTACCCATGCAAGTTTTGAATGTGTCAATGTTAATTTCCTTTGGCTAATGTGATTGGTCTAAAATGCATTCATCGCATGTATGTGGAAATGTAGCACAACTTTATATAACAAATACGTTGCTCCGCTGGAATATTGCATTATATATTTATGCTAGAATAGGAGGAACAGAATCAACTTCGTTGGATATTCAATTACAACAATTTTCGCTTTGAATTTTTAAAATCTGCCAGGTATACACCAGGAATTTTGTACAGAGGATTCCAGGAAATGCTTCAGTGTAGTTTTTAGAGGGAGGATGCCTCTGTTACCCTTATCATTCATTATTAGTGTTTAGTCACGGGTAGCTTAAACGTACTTTGTAAATCTGATTTTCAACCTGCCTAAGATTAGCAGGACTGGTAAAAATCTCCTTAGGAAGATTGTCCCACAACAACAAAGGAGCCGTCTGAATAGCATGGAGCATGGATAACGTAGTGCGAGCGGTAGCACCCCTAACACCGACCAGCCGAAATGGAGGACTCTATGGTAGAACCCATCGAAACTGGATGAGCGCTTGGGCGCTTCTTGCTGGTTAGGCGGTCGACGCGAACTGAGAGACCTTTACGGTTCCAGCAAATAGTTCCTATTAATTTTCGCGGTCAATCCTGGTAATAGATGGCATTTGTCGTGTCGTATTTCGGCAAACTTCACATCTCTGCTTTTGCTCGTTATCCAATCTAGATACCTAGATCGTGCTGCGGTTTGAAATAAACTTGCTACCGTGCTGTTCACGGTTGGGCCATTATTACTTCTAAAAACTCTTCTGTCACTCGCATTTGTCAAACAGTTCACGCGAATGAGGCATCCCTTACAATAAAAAGGCATACGTTGCCGTCACGAGTTCCATTGTTTATGTGATAGGAGTATGGCTATTGAGTTAGTCAAGGTATTACTTTGGACACATCAAGACTATAGAAATAAATGTGCTGTTAAAGTTCACAAACCGAGAATATGGAACCAATTATGGTTACAGTGGCAACCCAGCAAGAAAGCATATACCAGCATAAATGCGTGTGTGTGTGTGGCCGTTTTGACACCTGCACCATTTATCGAAAATAAAAAGTCGCATATAAATCGCGGTGGCATTTCGGCTCATAAACCATCGTTTACGATGCATGCAAATATTAAATGAGGAAATGTTCCTATATAGAGTGCAACCAAAAGGATTTCTTGTTTGAAGTTTAGTACAATTTTATTTGTAACAAAGTTTAGTACAATTTTATTTGTAACAAAGTTTAGTACAATTTTATTTGTAACAAAAGATTAACTGGCTGGCGTGTCGAAAAAGTAGAAAAAGTGGACTAACCGTGTTAATATAAATTTGAAGCTAGAAATTGCGATATTACAAAATTTTATGTGCACAAAATAGGTACTATTACTATTTAGCAGAACAGAACAGAACAGATATGCCTTAAAGCAATTAGACATGCAAAAACTCGAAAAATCGTACAGACACAAAGATGTTTTGTTTATTTTTTGCAAACCTACAAGGCTTTCTGGCCCTGCTGACATATAATTATTCCACGCTTCACCTCAGACGAAGCTAAAACCGTCAACCTATGTAGAGATATAATATCCAATTATATCAGAAATAGCGAAATCCCCTTTAAAATGCAAACCAAATTCAGATTAACATATATGTATAGTTCAGTTTGAACTCAATTATACACCAAAAATCGTCTCAATCTCTCCTACAGCGTACTGTGTAATCTCTCAATCTTCGTATGTAATTCAGACCGTGTCCTTCTAGATATGGGGGAGATGTAAAACTGATCTACAGAAGTTAGAGAGACGAACATTATACATATTTATACAGGGTGTCTTTTGTTAACTTCGAGCAGTGTACTGAAACTATGAAAGAATGATAATGAGCAGCTGCATGTAAGTATCAAGACATGAAAGCAAATTAGACAGATGATGAGCTCAACACAATCGGCCAAGAAAGAATTGATAGAATGCTAGAATTATCTATGAGGAGTGAGGAAGACAGAGTTCATGGACGGAAGAAAGGTTCAATAGTCCATGATCAATCTCATAATGACTACCTGTAACTGGCATGAGGCTCTTGAATCTAGTGGAAAAGCCACGTGCTGGTTCTGTAGAGAGCACAAAGAAATCATATCAGCGGTTTTAGTTTTATTTGA